CCGGCCCATTTATCCACGCAGTCCTGGGTTTGCAGGTCCACACTTCTTTTCCTGCCCTGCCCTGACATTTCCTCTGGAGGAGCACTCGGTCTGTCTCTCAGCAGGACTGTGAGAGGTGTATGGGGACATCAGAGCATCAAACATGCCCCACGCTCAGCTGCTGCCTCCTCCCAATGCCAGCTTTGCTTCAGGCATCACAGGCTTTGCTCCACATATTTGCCTGTCCGATGCCCCAACAAGGTGGTGGGAAAAACTGGCCGTGGATGATGCTCTCCAAAGAACTGTGTCTCTCAGACAAAACTGGATGGGATTTATCAACACAAACCCAACTAAAAAGAGATGATGTGTTCATTTCCAGCTAATATGTCTATGATAAGCCAAATATCGGAACAAGAATAGTAAAAAACTGTAAGGATGGATATCAGTGAGATTTACGCAGCTTACATTTTGCACAGCTCTGTGAACATGCACAGCAAAAAGCCTTGAATTACAAAAGAAGAGAAACAGAGCTAAACTGAGACCCATCCTCTGCTTTCTTCCATGAGAGGAGACATTGCTGGGAATTCCAGGCACTGTACAAATTAAAAACAGCATTTCAGTCCAAACTACAAGCTTCTTGACTTTTCTGTGTGTAAATCAGATCCTTACATTATCTCAGTATCATTTTGTGGCTGAAAGCAATTCAGCAACTATCAGCACAGCCAGACTGAAATTCAACAGAACAGGATCTGAGCACTTCATCTCTTAATTATTAGATGTTTCTGTGGAAATTAATCTTACAAAAATGAAGTTCGGCAGAAAGTTGACAGTGTGTGGAGACCACAGAAGGGAGAGGAACTTTACAACTCGACCTTCACATTTTCTACCTATAGGATTTCAACATTTGCTAAAGTTGTAGTGAGGGCAGCTTCCTCACAGTGCTCCGTCTGGGAAATATCACATTCAGCAATTCCTGAATTACAGTTTCTAATTATATTTTCATACTGTAATGCTGTCTGAAATGCAAATTTGATGACAGAATAATTCGATCCATGTAAAATAATTACAAAATTACTGTTTCTCAAACCTCAACTCATACTCCATGCTATTTAAGAAGATAAATTTAACAGCAGTAAAAGTACAGCCAAAACATAGTCTATTTTTTTAACTGTTATCTGCCTATAACTGTCTGCATAGATTTTGGCTCACCATGGAAGATTATTTCTTAAATATGACTACCAAAAACATTCCAGAGTTAGGATTTTTGTTGCTTTAGCTTGGAACCAACAATCAGATCAACTTTTATTTTGCATTCAGAGTACCATATGCATGGCATCTGCATTTAATTGGAAAAGCAACTGTTGATTAAAATGCTAAATCTCTGCTGCAGCTCAGTTATCATTTAAACCAGTTGTTGCTAATGTTGATACAGGACATTAAATTAGCACAACATAATGATTTTTAGCAGGGTGGAAACCAACTTCTGCAATATGTAATTTAAGAATCTGAAACTCCATACTGCTACATCAGTTCCCACTGTCTGACAATATCTCTCTTGTACAGGGGATTTTACTCCCTCCCCAAATTACTGCCTTGAGTAGTGGCTAAGACCCTTAAAAAGCTAGCAGAAATCTCATTCTGTTTGAAAAATGCAAGAAGCAGTCAGCGCTCTGCACTGCAAGGTTTTATTATGCTTCTAGCCTAAATTTAGATTGTCATTGCCCATCAACTCAACCAGATCAAGGTAGAGCACACTAAAGGCTTGAGTGGGTTATTATTACTAGGCTGGAGGCATCAACAACTGGTGTCTGTTTTTAATTTCCCTGGCTGTATCCAGTTGTGTGAGAAGTGACTCAAGGAGATCTCAGTCCTGTTTTCAGCCAAGGTCTCTCCTAAGGTGAAGTGCTCCAATTCCTCAGGAATTACTGGTCTGCTTGCCCTTCTCCATGGACAAGGAGACTGTTGGAAGAGATCATCTCCTCCTTGTGTGCGTGCAAGGGGGTACCATTTGCAAATGATGTGTAGGCTGATGGGAGGTATGAGGGTCAATCTGGCCTCCCCAAAGAAGGTGGAGTGTCACTAAGCTCAGGTGCATCTAATTTTTTTCACTTTATGTCAGAGGATTTCAAGTCCAAGTAAGTTGGCAGTCTCATGGTTGCGGCATTGGGCAGAAGATGAGAGATGGGCTGCAGCCACCTTCCCCCCCCTCTCGGCAGTAGGCAGGAACCTACAGACTACTTGTTCTTTTCTCATTGTGGATGAAACCATGTCAGGGCAGAGACAGCGGCGTGCTTAACCTTACATTGCCTGGCAACTTCACACACTCCCAAGGTAAAATCCAAGTGTACGTCAAAATAGTTTGGTACAGAGATGACCAGCAAAAATGAGAGCATGAAATCACCAAGCAGAGGCACGCAGCCCTGGGACAACTCTCACACACTGTCCCCAGCCCTTCCCCTGAGGAGGGATCTGTGCTTTTTTCTGCAGTTACAGACTCCTCACTGCCTGCGAGCTGCCTGCCTGACCACGTTTCGGCCGTCCCCTCCTCTGGGGCTCAAAGGAGCCTGGGCTGATGGGATGCCCAAAGTCCCCAAAGGCTCAATGAGAGGGGACAGAGCTGGTCACTTTGGCAAGCAGGACACATCCCTGTGCAACTTCAGCAGCACTCACCAGTAATTCTGACTCTCAGGTCTCCTGCCACAATGCGGCTGGGACCCTCCTAGTAAAAAGTGAAGCAGTTTATCATCCTCCTTTCTCAGGTCAAGTTAGTGCCTTTTGAAGACTTGCTCATTATCGCTAATACAAGATAAGTCCATTCCAGATGGAGATGAGGAACTTATTTTAAAAATATTTCTAATTAATAGCTCTTGAGCAGAAGTTGCATCAATTATTTTTCCCCTTGCAGGTGTTTTCAAGGCATCAAATGCTACAGGACACTGTATTCAAGTCTAAATGAATAAGGTGAAGCCCCAGCCCTCACTGAGGATCACTGCTACACTGACGACTCAGGTCAAATCTGGCAGGCGATTGCAGCTATACATGGAACCAAATCCTTTAGATGTAAAGGTGAATGACATTTCTTGAATGGCAGGTGTCATTCAGCTTGAATCTGTCCCCATACTCCATGCTGCAGTCCCTCACTGGACTTGCTCCACCAGTGTAAGCTGGTGGCCAAGCAGACCTTGGAGGGTGGTGGGTCATATCAACTCTTTCCCCCTGCTCTTCCTTCCTACCCCACCACCCAGATTCTGGGGGGACTCACATGCAGGTGAGGGGACACGGACCGCCGTCAGCCAAAACACGGCTCCCCACACCAGCTGGGGAGCAGCTGTGCCCAGCCCAGCCCAGCCCGGGCAGATCGCCCGGGTGAGGATTCCCACGGGAAGGCTGCCCATGGGGTTCTAGCACCTCCGCTCCAAAGCTGCGAGGCTCCTGTAAACCCTGGTTAAACTCACCTCTGATGAGCCAGTAGAGATTCTTCATGCACTGATGCATTGGCATCAGGTGAAGAATTTAATAAATAAAATTTAAAACATTTCAGCCCCCCCCCTCACATTGATATTTTAGGCACAAGAGTTAAATTAGAAAGAACAGATGAGATAACACCAAGTGAAATAGATTAGAGGTTTCAGATGCATTTAACCTTCTTCTCCTGCTAAGAATGCCAAATGCAGTGAAATCCAGAGCATTAAGCCATAACTTTCCTTACAGAAGTGCTTTCGGTTTAAATCTCTGTTTTGGCTCCCTTTCTGAAACAATTACTTCTGCTGCATTTGGTAACATTAGAATATTTTTTATATTTTTTTTTTTTTTTTAATCTTTCATTGCTCTGTGTTTTAAATTGTTTTGTAGCTCCGTGATTGTTTCAGACTGGCAGCTGCTTTAGAAAATCATTAGCATTATCATTAAACCCTTTGAACTTTGAGAAGAAGGGAACAGGAGCATATAATTAGCGAAGATAAGAACAATCTAGCATACTTTTCCAGGAAACAATGCACACGATGCTTCAGCTGTAATCTGTTCTTAAAACGAATCTATACATTCCCACACAAACAAACTCAGGCTGTGGCACTACACTTCAGGAGCCCTGGGATCTCCTTCCACACAACAGCCCCCTCAGAGTAAGCTCAATACAGAAACAGACCCAAACTCCCTTTTCTTTTTATAAAAAGACCTAAATAACAACATTTCATTTTTCAATTACTGTGGTGCTGTTCATGCTGCAATTCTTTTTTTTTTAAAGCTATTCTAACTGCTCTCAACCCACAACAGAAAACACACAAAAAAAAAGCAAAAAACAAGCCGGGCGTGTGCGTGTGAGAAAAAGGGTAAAAGCCTGTGTTACAGCAATGTTGCTCTCTTGGCATATTTCAGATGATTTTTCAGGAAGCTCTTGATCCTTTTCTCTGTAAACACTATACAGTCAAGAGTGCCGCGTGCCCCAGGAGAGGGACAGAAAGCCCGGGGAGTGTGTGGGGTGCAGGGACTCCGTGTGAACAAAGATGATTTAAAGACTCGAACTTTGGGAGTTGGATTTCAGGCTGTTCCTGGCTGCATCGGCTGCTGGCTTGCCCCTCACTGAACACGTTGGGTACAAACCCGCCTGAATTGGACAGCACTGAAAAACTGCAAGTTCCAACAGAGGTATAAAGCTGTCGAGATGCCCAAATCAACACAATACCTAAACATAAATTCTTTTAACTCCTGAATGCATTAACCTAGGATTACTCGTGTTCATTTATATTCCTAAAGTGTCAAATGAGAACAATATCATTTTATACTCCTTTCACGGGCCATTAATCTAAATTTAACTCCGCTTTGCAGTCTGCACACAGAATTAGTAACTGGAAGCTGCTTTGCATTTATCTGATAGTGCCGGGCTTGTTCATCAAGGCAAACTTCCAGCCAAAACAAACAAGTGAAGAAAATATCGGTCCCGATAAACTGCTTTCTATACTATTTTTTTTTTTAAAGGAAAAACAAAAAAAAATACCTGACGAGAACATAAAGCAAATGGTTACCTCACACTGCAGAAATGCAAGTTTTTAATAGTCCATGCTCTGGCAGCCCCTGAGAAACAGCAGCGGCGGTGGCGGCGGTGGCGGGGATAAATCCAGCATCTACTAGGTTCTCACAAGGCTTTGGCTGCGCGGCCGAAACCGCAGGCTCTGCCTCCAGCTGACGTCAAGGCGGCTGTCACATGGCCAGGCGCAAGCCCAGGGAGCACTGGTTGTCCTGGCAACCCCAGCACTGCTCCGAAATTATTTCAATAGGTCATCTGTCATACTGCGCGCACATTGGAACCATCACGGGCGCCCGGACAACCCAAACACCACGGGCTCGCTGGAGCTGGCTGCGCCGGGGGGTTGGTCCCATCGCTGACACTCTCTTAACCCCCGTCCCCGTAAGAGAACGCGCCTCCCGCTTCCTCTTCCTCCTGCATCCCCAGCCTCTAGCAGAGCAAACAAAACCCTGACGCGCCTGGTTTGCCCAAGCAAAGGGGCAAAAGCGTTGCCCTCCGTGTCTACTGGGGCAGCTCGATGATGAACAGCTGGGCGCTGCACCAGCTAGCTAAAATTAGGGTCTTTCAAAATGACACACAGCTGAGGTTTTATTCATAGGCACAGAGATGCACGTTTGGTCACCAGCATCTCTGCCCAGATTTGGGGGGAGGCAGCAGCGGTCCTTGGCGAAGCGATGTGGGGCAGCAGCCGTGGGGGGCTGTGGGCTGGTCCCTAGAGGTGCCTGGCCAGCCTGGCCTCGCGTCCCTGAGCCTCGGCCACCAGCCCCTCCTGCTCGCCTGCCAGCGATGCTTCTCCTGCCGCTCCCAGCAAAACATCCTAGGAGGGGAATGAAGCAGTGCCTGTCTCCACCTGGCTCTGACCCACCTCCACAGCCTTATCCTGCAGGCAGAGACATGACACCAGTGTCTCAGATTTCCTTGTAATTCTAGCTAAAATCCACTCCTTCCCCCAAATTTCCTTTTTTTTTTTTTTTTTTTTTTCTCTCTGCACATGGCCTTACCAGAGCCCTGCACCACAGGCACACACCAGGGGCAGGATACGGGAGAGGAAAAATCCCGGGGGGGGATTTTCATCTGAAAGAAGCAGGGAGGAAAGGCAAAGTGTCAGCAACAAAAAAATAATCCTGTGCTCATCTGAGTCAGTGACGGTTCCTGTCCAGTCCCCAGGATATGAAATACCAGGAACCAACTGCAGTCGATGGCTCTGGTGAAAGTGGAAGCAGATGTAAAGCTGCATGGGATCTGCAAATGCAAACACAGGGGCATCCTCAGCTGAAGTTGGCTTTGGCCCCTTTGCAAAAGGCAAAAGAGAAAATATTAAAAATTAAAAGACAGCTTAGGATGGAGCATAAAGGGGTGCTGGGGAGGGCTTCCCCTCCATCCAACTCAGAGGGGGGATGGTGGGGACATGGGACTGGCAGGCAGTGGTGGGGGCTGCTGAGCCCCATTGCCCTCCGCTGCTGAGCGTGCGAGGGCAGCAGGCACTTGGGATATTTAGCTCAACATCAACAACAGCCAATGCTGGTTTATGTAGCATTTAGTGAGACACGTGTCTGTCTCTCCAGCACAGCTTGGAGCTCTCCGCAGCTCTCCACCACCTTTCCAGCACCGCTGCTGTGCTGGGGCTTCCTGGGTCGGTTCATATTCGGGGGCACAGTCCCTGGGATCGTGAGCTGTCCCCCAGGCTTTGGTGCAAAGCAGTTTAGAGGGCTCAAAGAGATATTACAACAGAATAAGGCAGCCCCCACTGGCTATAAAATTCATGCCTTAAAAAGAAAATACTCACAATTAGCTGGGAAACCTGTGATCGTTTAACAGAACATGAATAATGTGAGGAATTTTAAAAACCTCACTGATTGCTACATGTGTTACATATAACCACACATATTAATCCAGTATAGAAGGCTGAAATTTCATGTCAACACCCACCAATAAAACTGTACCATAACGTACAGATGTATATTTTCACTTGTACAATACAACAGAAAGTTTGGGGTTGCAGTTAAAAAACGTATCCCCCAACACTGCGTAGTGCATTATTTTCTATTAGTCTGTCAAAAATGAGTGCACCTGGGGGAGATTTTAATGGTTTTGATTCTTTTAAAGGCCCTTTCACAAAAGATAACAATACACCACATGCATTTTAATGGTCACAAAACATTTCAATAGTCACTTTACTGATGCCCTAAAGGGCTGGCGGAGGCAGCCGAGCAGGGTCCCCCGGAGCTCCCCGCAGCAGCTGCCTGGGGACCTGCACTCGTTCCCCTCCCTTGTCAGTCTGGTCCTCCACACCAACAGACACAGGGGTGTGGAGAGCACCTCTGTCCTCTGGCATAAAAATAACCCTTTCACTCTCCTTTATGGGATATTTCTGCTGCAGGGCTAGAACCCAGATCAGTTTTTAAACCATGCACGGTGTTTATAAGGGCATACTAATTATACGTTGCGAAGTTCATAATTATCAGCCAGTTGACAGACGCTAAATGAAAACAAAGAATGACCAATGCACTGGAAAACATATGATAATGGCAGCTTAAAGTGTGCTGCTCCCAGTTCCCAGGGCTCGACAGAGGTCCTGCTGTGCCTCCCTGCTGATGGTGGCTGGGAATAACTCCTCCACAGGGAGATATTCTGAATTTCTGACTGAAATCCCTACTTCTCCCCAGCACTTTCTGTAACCCACAAAACTTTCCAGGGCTCAGGGAAAGGGAGGCCCTACACAATGCAGACGGACACAGAAATGAAAGCAACAACACCCATCCGTCAGGGAGCCAAAGAATCCTGCTAAAAGTGGCAGAAAAGCCTATATTCCCTGAATTAGCTTAACTTTTACACGATAAAACCCCCAACATCAAACCAGTCTCTTCTGTAATGTCAGTCAACCAAGTGAATGCAAAGCAATGAGACACAAGCACTGACTGGAAAAATACATAAAAGATATTTAAAGGTTGAAGCCTGCTGAGAAACAAATGTGTTGCATCCACCTGGGACCATGATACAAAAACTCATACCCCTCCTCCTGCTATGGGGATGTGATGCCTTGCAGGGAAAGGTCTCTGTCCTGCACTTGGCACCTCCTCCCTCCCTCCCAACCCTCCACGTCTGGGGCCCATGGCAGGCACTACCAGGGGACATGAGTTCTCTCCCTCATCCTTAGCATGATGAACAGTCTGCCAGATCTTCACTGACTGCAATAATATGTTTTATATATATCATAATATACACATAGATATCTCTAATATCTAAACCTGCCTATAACAAACATGTATCAGGACCTGTGTAATAACTTACACACAAATACAGTGCTACAAGGTGGGACACAATCCAGATTTCCTTCCATACTTATTTTGGCTCTGCAGAGCTAACAATAGATAACATTTGTTTGCCCGTAAAATGGAAGACACGTAGGGAGCAGAAACTCTATATGGGTTGATCTCTGAACCCACAAAAGACTACATCTTCCCTGTTGTCAATCCCCACGCTCAGAAATGAGCCACATCAATGTAAGCAGCTGAGAATCTACTCTTGGCTTTCCTCTTACCAAAACAACACTTAGAACAGTGCTTCATCTTGAAACCTTCCCTCAAACATCCATGATTGTTTACTGTTTTTAAAAATAAAATGAAGAAAAAACCCAAGTAGGCATGATTCTAATATTTTATATATATATATATATATATATACACACACACACACATAAACTGAAAACCACATGTGTTTTGCTGGCCTCTGCAGCTTGCTGTTTGAAAAAGTGGCTAATGTTTCAATTGGCATCAGTTACAGAGATAAAAAAGACAGAAACAGGGCTCAGCAAAATGTTGTCATGTTGACTTTTGCTCTTGTAGAAAAACAGGGTGGAAAAAAACCCACAGGAAAAGACTTCTTAGTTTTGATACAGCTGACATGGCAATACCAACACAGGGGGGTTTGAAATAAAAACAAGAAGGGAAAGTGATTCAGCCCACTCTGTTCACTGACAGTGGCCCAGTGAAAGAATTATTGTTTGAGTCCAATCAGGTGGAAGATGGTTTCCCAGGAATGCAGCACTGTAAGAAAATCCTACGCTCTCCATATATGTGTCATGGCTCTTTAGTGCCACTAATTCCTGCTCCCAGGGAAGGTGAATGATTTCTCTTTCAGAAGCAATAACTGTGGTTTCCCATACAGCACCAGTGGCTTTGGGGATTCCCGCAGCACCCTTCCTAACAGTGAGAAGAGCCACTGGACCAGAGCTCTGGGAGGGTGTGAGCATCAGCAGTGAGGAACCATTCCCAAACAAAGACCTCTGATAGGTGCTGCTGAGGGCTGGTGGAGAGCCATAAACCATAAACTGCCTTTTTGTGATATATTTTGTAGAAAGGCTTGCTTGGTCTGCAACAATTTTCTGGTATTTGAGCCTAAATAATGCCATAATCTATCCTTAGTCAGTATTGCACTGATTTTCTTCCTCATGAGATATGCAATAGATTCTCACATGACCTTTTAAAAGTTTCTCTTGCACCTGCCTCCTCACAGAAGCTGATTACTTTTGGAGCTGGTGCATCCCTCCCCTGTGCTGATGTCCCCACATCTTCTCCTGTCTCTGCCCGTTCTCCTGGATTTCCCTTGCAACACCCTTGCCCTCACCCTCACTCTGCACTATTCATTAGTTAGATGGGAAAAGCATCTTGAACCACAAGTAAGATGAAACTCACTTTCTACCACTCTGCACATCTTCCAGGACTACATCTACTTTGGCAGCTAAAAGGAGCTGGGGCCCATTCCCTTGCCCAGAGATTTGGTGTCACAGCATCACTGAAGCCTGTAGTGCTGAGCATCTCCCCCAAGAGGGTGGGCTCATCCCTTCTCACCTGCTGGGAAGGACCTCAAGTCTGTGCTGTCCCCTAAACCACAGCCAGGACAGCTAGAGGAGCTGAGGTTGGCCACCACGTCAAACATTTGGCCTCTGGGCAGTAGCAAGTGTGCTGGATGGGAATCACCCTTGCAGGGATCCCAACTCGCTGGCACGGAAGCACCAGGAGACCAGCTCAAACACTTAAGAGAGCAGATGAATACTGAAATACTCTTAGGTGGAAAAAAATCCCATCATTTAGCAATCACGATCAGTACCTCCTAAGGGACCAGCCAGCAGATTTACTTTGCTGCTGAGGGTGGATGCTTCCCATTAATTGATGCACTTGAGTTGTGTGCACTTATCTGGGGGCCAAACTGAAAGAAAACA